AGTGTAGTGTCCGTTCTTATCAGTTTACTCTCTGATGACGGTATAGTAAGTGGATTTGGGGGATTGGGAGACGACAGGACCTTGCTCAGTCCACTCCACGCATTGACCTGGTATTGCAGTATTTCCAGGGATGATGCAGCCCCCCCCAAAAAAAAGGCAGCAAGTGCTTATAACCCCACGGACCCAGGCTCACCTCCTAGCCCTTGTGTGGCCCTTGACCAAGCCACCTAATCTCTCTGAAGCTGGAAAACAGGAGTTGAAATCCCTGCCTCTCCAGCTGAGGATAAAATGTCCCAAAGGCAGGAGTGGGGAAAACCAATGTGTAGCACACGGATCACGCGGTCGGTCAGTCCCTGACTGCTTCGTAGATGGACCCCGACTCCGTGGGGAATGTGAAGTGTGTCCGGCTCTGGGCGCCCTCCAGGGCACACCCAGGGGTAGGAGACGGAGCACAGACAAGCTCCGCGGAGGACCTGGCATCTGGCAGGCGCCACCGGGACCCCTCGTCCTTGACAGTTCCGCCTGCATTTCCCTCTGTTCCTGTCGTTCCTTCCCAGGTCCCAGGAAGCTGGCTCTCGTCTCCTATGGGGGAACCTTGCCACTGGCTTTCCTGGGGGCCTCAGACCTCGGACTAGGTTGACTGTTTCAGCCTCTTCAAAAGTGGCAAGAAATGGGGGTTTGCTGCTGGGAAAAGGAGCGCGGTGCGGAAAAGCGTTTCTGTCTCCAGTGGGGCGCCGGGCTCCCTCCCACGGCCGTGGTTCTGTCCGTCCGCAGCTGTTTTCTGTCGGCCCTGGGCTCCATCCCGGTGGTCTGTGTGTGCAGATTTCCAGGAGGTGCTGTCCCTAGTTCCACACGGCGGGTCTCCCCGGGGCCCGGATCTGGGGCACCTGCCCGGTCCTCAGGAGCCTGGGGGCCAAAGCTGTGGGGCCCGAGGAGCACAGGTGCTTCCCCCACGTGGACACTGAGGCGCTGCAGTGAGGAGAGCCAGCCTCCCCACGGGCGACAAGCCGGAGGCCACGACGGCAGCTCCGCTCTTCCTCCTGCCCCACCTCTTAGAGGCCACTTTCCGGGAGCCTCCCAACTTTGTGTGAAAGCCACAGTGCCCTGCGTCTGCCAGGGGAGTGCCCATCACACGGCTGATGTACTTACCTGTTCCTCCCTGAGACTCTGGTTTGAAGGCTGAGGCTGGGCTTGCTCCCCGGCGCCCCGTGGCGCCTGGTACGCAATACATAACCCTTAAGTATTTTATCTGTGCGGTGAGCGGACGGCCCCATATTGTGCTGTCTGTGCACTTGTGTCCCGTGCACGGAACTCGTCGCTTCCTAAATGCAGTGGGAACTCAGAGTGCCAGAGAAGGGCAGCTGGAGAGAATCCCGACTCTGAAGCCCTGTGGTTACACTCTGTTCTCAGAGCGAGTGTGTGCACGGTGGGGCCGACTGTCCGTGGTTCGCAGCACCCACAGTCACCTCGTGTCTGCCTTGTCAGGGCCAGCGAGGCCCCTTCAGTCCGCAGCCCCAGGCGCCCTTTGCTCCTGCGTCTCCAGTTTTACTGTCTCTCCTCCCTGCCGTGGCGTCCACCTGGCTCATTCCCCAGCACCCCCTCTGAGTCTGCTGGGGCCCTCACGGTGGCAGACGCCGCCCAGCTGGGTAAGACATCGCCCTCACTCACCTTAGCTCCTGCGGCTCCTCCGGAAACCTCGACTGCATGCATTCTAGGTCTTTCGAAGCGTTGCCCAGCTTGACTTCAGACCTTTCCCCCAAAGTTGCCATTTTTCTAAATAAATCACTGCTTTTGTGGGAGTTGCCTCTCTTCTCAAAGACGAGTGCAGAAAAAGAAATCGCAGCTCTTTGGAGCGCCCCTCTGATGGAGCTCCGCTGTTGGCGAGCATGCTGACCTAGCCTGGCCACCCAGCAGACGTGCTCTGTGTGTCCCAGCTCCGCTGGTCCACGTGGGGACCCAGGAGTCTCAGGGAGACACACCTCTCAGGGTTTGTGCCTGGGCAGCATCCTAGCCCCTGGGAGCCCCGTCAGAGCTGGGACGTGTTGTGTCTGCCCTGGTCGCCCCTGTGCTTGGCACAGTGTCTGACATATGGAAGGGATTCCGTGTATGTTTGTGGAATTCCATGTATGTTTGATGGAAGGAGGGAAAAAGGAGGAGCGGGATTCAGAATGAGAGATGAGATTCCCTCCCAGGGAGTGTCTGATGTGCTAGAAGAATCTGACACTAGAAATATGAAATAAATACTCTCAACTCTGAGAGTTTCCAATAAGGCAAGAAATAACATTAGGATAGTTATGTAACAGGAAACATCTCGGATACGCCTTGGGACGGCAGCTGTAAGGAGGGAAGAAACGCAGCTTCCTGAAGAAACCCGGTGTTCCGAGCGGCTGCGGCAGATTTGTACTGACAGGCGTCGCTTTTGAAACTCAAACCATGTAGATCTGAGCATCCTGTATCTTCTCTCCATCTTCTCCTTCTGTTCCCTCCTGCCCCTAAAACAATCTCAGCTTGTGTTACCGAGGTTTGGTAGTGTACAAATGTCTGTGTTTTGTTGTGGGGTTTTTTTTCTGTACCTCTCCCACATTAATATTATTTGGTATTGGCTCTATAGCAGATGTTAAATTGGTTTAATCCCACATGCCAAACTTCAAATGATTGGCTGTGGCTCACTGGAGTGTTGCGAAGGGTTCTGAAGCCGTGCCGAAGTTGAAAGCGGAAAATTTTCATGGAAAGAGGTGGAGAGGGTTGGAGAATAGCCAGTATGTGTGCCAAGCATTTGCCAAGCGAAGTGATGGGAGCAGGGAGTAGCATCCTTCAGGTTTCGCTCTAAGAGTCAGCGGAAGTTGTTACAATATCATTTCTTTCAGAGCCCGAGACTGTTGGTTTGCAGCTCGTGTTCCGCAGTGGCTGGAACAGAGTGGCTGCAAATAGGGAGAAAAAATGAGTTGACTATCTTAACAGTGTTTAAACCTTTTCTCCAACCAGTTCATATCTGATATCTGATCCCAAACTGGACTTCAGGATCGTGGAGAGGGGCAGGGACAAGAGACTATTTAAAAAGTTCCTGCAGTGTCCATATTTTCCGTGGTTATTTCTGAAGCAATTTAAGCTTCTGAAACATGAGCCACAACAAGGTACCAGTAAGTGCGCTGAGGAAAACAAGACGTGGTGCCCGGGGACGCTGCCCAGAGATGGCAGTATTTGCACGTAGACTGTGAGGCAATGAGCTGGATCCGGTGGGAAGGAGCTTGGGGAAGACCCTTCCAAGCCAGAGAAATGACAAAACAAACACGTCCAAGTCAGTGTGCCTGGCGCAGGGGAAATGCTCAAGAGGCCTGCCCATTAGCCCTGATGTTTGCTGAATTGTTGTTGGTGGTGGATTCTTGTAAGCTTTTAAAACTTTTATTGCATGCAGTTCCTGGAGTTGCTTTTAAGCACATCATTGCATTTGGTTGGATAGTGCTTGCTGAGTTGCACAGAGAGATGGGGAAGACGTCTGTAAATTTAGGTGAACCTTATCCCGGGCATAACTCGGAGGGAAGCTTGCGGTCCAGGTGGGGCCCCTTCCTGCTCCAGAGATCCCGTGCAGGTTGGCGGGGGTCGGTAACCAGAGACCATCAGCAGGCCAGCTGGGTAAAGAAGGAGCATGGCCACAGCAGCTGACCCACTCCCTAAACAGTCTCGCGGACCTTCCCTGCCTCCGCCTGTGTGCTGATGAGTCCGGCCTCGGCTGCCTGCTTCTTGTGACCGTGAACCCTTCAGAAGCCACTTGTCACAAAAGGGGAAACACCTCCCCTGTAAAACCTCCACCCACCTCCGCATTCTCTCATTCCAGTTGCTGGCTGCAGTCTGGGCTCTGGCCCCTACACCGGAAACTGTGGCCTGTCTCTCTCCCCACCTTGGTGCCTTTGCCTCTGCTGCCCCTCTGTGGGGGGGCTTTGTCCCAAGCCCTCCCCCTGGCAAAGCTTCCCGGTCCCTCCTCCACGGAGCCTTCTCTGACTTCTGTGGGGCCGGCTCCTCTCTGAGTCTCCGCCGTCCCCTTGGCACATTGCCTCCAGGGGGCCATGAGCGCCTAGTGGGCGGGGAGCACGTCAGAGTGGTCGTGTACCCTGGCTGCCTACACACAGCAGGGCTGGATCCATGTGCACGCAGTGATGTTCGCTGTCTGCGGGTCATGAAAGGGTCCTCAGGGAAGGTTAGTACTGACCACGGACAGCTGTTTTCTTTATATTCCTCTGGATTGATTCAAATTCTTTACATGAAGCAGCTATCAATTACTTTCAGATTTTTTTGTGTGTGTGGTGAAATGTACATAACGTAAAATTTTCTCTAACATGAACCATTTATAAGTGTGCAATTTAATGGCCTGAAGCGCATTCACTTTGCTGTGCTGCCGTCACCACCATCCATTCCCAGGACTGATTCGTCATCCCAAACGGAAACTCTGTCCCCATTAAACACTGGCTCCCCTCCCGCTCCCCCAGTGCCTGGGAACCACCCCTCTACTTTCTGTCTCTGAATGGGAGTGGAATCATACAGGGTTTGTCTTTTTGTGACCGGCTTATTGCATTTCATGATGTCCTCAAGGTTCATCCGTGTTGTAGTGCATGCCAGAATTTCCTTCTTTTTAAGGCTGAATAGTATTCCACTGTGTGTGTACCACTGATGGATTTTAGTTGTCTCTACCCATCGGCTGTCGTGAACAACACTGCTACGGACATGGTGTGCAAATACCTGTTCAAGTCCATGTTTTCAATTCTTCTGGGTGTTTGCCCAGAAGTGGAATGGCTGGGTCCCACAGTTAAAATCACTTTCACAATTTAGAAACATTTTTAATAGTTCAGAAATGGTCGTTTCCATTCAAACACGAGGTCACCTTGAGGTGGGAGGTGACGCAGAAATGCAGGCTGAAGTTTCAGACTTTTGTCCTTGTGACTTGCGTGATGCTCGGTGACATGAAATGGTTTGTTTTCATGTGTGGTTTTAATTTTTTCTTCCAGCATCAAGCTGCTCGCTGTGCAAGAACTCCTCGACAGAGAGGCCCTGGAAAAGGTAAATGTCCCTCCTACCCCACACTCACATGTCCCGCTGAGGGGCACACTGAAACACTTCAACTCTCTGACACCAGAGACAGCACTTACTGCAATGCTGGTCTGTTACTTTGTATTCTTAACAGTCAGGGAACCGTGCAAAAATATTAACGTTGCTCATACACTGTTAACACTTGCAAACCCTGCCTTGTGTGGCCCTCAGGGCTATGTGACAGCCTCTGGAGCCGCCGCTGAGCACTGGATGCCACCGGCAGGCTGGGTCGGCGACAGCCACCTCGCTCTGTCTCTGCTGTGGGTGTTATCCTGGGCTAATGGATGACAGGATTGAGGCCCAAATGAACTGAGTGGCAGAGGAAAGAATTGAACCCCATGGTTCCATTTTGAAAGTTAATGCTTTTTCTTCTTTCTAAATTTGTCTTTATTGGTTTGGTGAAAGTATTACAGAGGTCCCTTCTTTTTTCCCTCCATCGACCCCCTTCTCTCTGCTCCTGTCCCCTGCCTTCACCGCACTGTCGTCTGTGCCCTTTGGTTATGCATATAAGTTCTTTGGTTTACCTCCTCCCGCCCCTCAATGCTTTTTCTAATTTGGAGACCAGTTTGAGACCCTTTTTAGGCTACTTCTGAGGATTGGGAGACTCCCTGCCTGCCTCGAGCTAAGGTTTTCATGGTGCCCTGGACGAGCTGTCCGGTGATCTCGGCTTTCTAGGTTCAAGTCAAGACGCAGCTGGGATCTTTGGCTGGTTGAGGGTTCAAGTTCTGTGTGTGAGGTGGAGTGGGCTCCCAAAAGCAGGCTGGGCAGGTGCCAAGGAGGCCAGGTCCACCCAGTACCACCCACAGACCCCCCCAATGCGTACCCAGCTGCTCCCCTGGGTAGCTCAGGACTCTTCCCAAGTAGGTGACTGTGGGTGTTAATGAGAATCTGTAGCGTTAACATCAAAGAGAGAGATGACAGAGATAAGCACTGAAGCGATCTTACTTTATTTATAGAATTTTAAATGTTTGGCTTCATGGTCAGACTGCACCAAGCCGAGGTACGGGGGCGGAGGGGGCGGGGCTCGGGGCTCGGGCTCTGACTTTCACGTCCCACCAGCCTCCTTTCCGTTGGGTGAAACCAGGACAGCGCCCCCGCCGGAGCTCAGGGACGCGCCAGCCCAGGGCCTTCGTGCAGCGGGGGCTTCCTGCGTGCCAGGCACCCAAGCCACCTCGTTCTTCACCCCGATACTAATTCTCAGTGCACAGCCAGCCACTAACGCGTGCTCGGTCCGGGGGTGGGAGAAGATTCTCTGTAGGGTCTTGAAACGTCTAAAAAGTTACCTCTCCTAAAACAATTCTCGCCTCAGTTTTCACTGCAGTTCTTCGTTTTACTTCTCAATTAAAACAAGAAGGACAGACCCAGCTGATAGACACATGGAGGCCGTGTGCTGAGGTGTGTTGGTATAATAAAGGCACGGGCACAGTGTTGCTCAGTGGTTAGAGCACTGGCTCATGCACCGAAGGGTTGTGGGTGTGATTCCCGGCCAAGGGCGTGTACCTGGTGGCAGGTTCCATCCTCGGCCCCCGTCAGGGTGGGTATGGGAGACAACCAATCAATGTGGAGGTTTCTCTCTCTCTCTCTCCTCCCCCCCCTCCCTCCCTTCCTTCCACTCTCTCTAAAAAATCAATGGGAAAAATATCCTCAGGTGAGGATTAACAAAAAAACACACACAAGCACCGAAATTACCGACGTGGTCTGGGAGCTGGGCTGCCGTCTGGTCTGGAGGCTGCACAGTGTCCGGCCTGGGCATGCTGACCCCTGGGGGTCCCGCCGAGAGGGGCTGCCAGGGGCACAGCGTGGGCTCGGCAGCCCCCCCTGCCAGCCGCGTCCTTTCGGGTTGCTCATCCTCCCTGTGCTTCGGTTGCCCAGGCGGCACAGGGGCACCTCTACAATCCTCACTCCACAGAGGTTTCGGGGAGATTAAGAGGGCGTGTGAAAGACGTCACACGGTGTCTGGCACTGCCCGCTCCCCCAGCGCTAGCTGCTGCCCGTCTTATTTCTCCTCCCCCGCTTCCTCCCCCCTCGTGCTCCCCAGCCAGGCCGTGGTTTTGTGCTGTTCCCTGTCTCCCTGCGTGACCGGTAGACAGCTTTGCAAGACGGTAGGCCCCGGCCGCTGGGAGCCCGGGCCGCTGCTTCCTTCTTCCGTCTGTCGTTTGTGCATCCCTTCAGTGGCTCACACCGCGGGCCTCTGCGCGCTCTCCGTGTTCCAGGCAAGTAGCAAACCTCCAGAAGAGTCCTGAAGCAACCCGTCAACGCGAGCTCGGTGGCCAGGTGCATTTTGAGTGACACATGGTATATCACTTGGCCCAGTCCTGCTTTTTTACACCAGTTATCAGAGCCTGTGGCTTACGGCCTCTCGTCTCCCCAGACAAGGGGGAGAACCTCCGAGAAAAGTTCTTGGTGAAGAGCAGAGCTCCTCGGAGTGTGGTCTGCAGACCAGCAGCGTCTAAAGCTTCTTAGAAATGAAGAATCTCGGACCCCACCCAGAGCCCCTGATTCAGTCTGCATTCTAAAAAAAAAAAAATTTTTTTTAACTTTATTGGTTTGAGAGAGAGAGAGGCAGGGAGAAGGAGAGAGAGATAGAAACATTGATGAGAGAGAACATTGATTGGCCGCCTCCTGCGTGCCCCCAACTGGGGATCAGGCTCACAACCTGGGCATGTGTCCCGATTGGGAATCGAACTGGTGACCTCTTGGTGCAGGGTCGATGCTCAACCACTGAGCCACACTGGCCGGACTCAGTGTGCATTCTAACCAGACCGAAGTGCTCTGTGGGCCCTGAAGTCCAAGTGCTCTCGTTGACCATCACAGCACTCCTGACCAGTCCGTCTTCAGAGCGAACCTGGAAGGTGAAGCTCCTTTTCTGTTGCATCAAAAGAGAAGAAGTAAACACCATCATTCTACTTGTGAGAACCCTGTTTTTATCTTGTTTGCCCGCGTCCTTTCACTAAGAAGATAGTCGTGTTTGGTCGGTAGGAGCAGCAGAAAGGCCCAGACGCCCGTCCTGCAAGCCTCCCACCCCTTGGACCGTCCTTGCAGCTGGGCCCGGAATGGCAGCACGCCTTGGGTTTGGCAGTTACTGAACTGCTGGGACCCCCCTGCCGGGAAGGGTCACCTGCAGGCAGGCAGTCCAGCCATGGGGACCTGATGGGTGCTGCTCTGAAGGGCTCGTTTCCCTCACAGGTACAATTGCAGGTGCAGGCTGACCGGTACAATATTTGAAGGATGGAAAACATGATGGAAAAGGCTAAAAGGAAGCAGCAGTGTCTGGGGTTCCCTAGAGGATAAGACGCCCAGAGCTTTTTCTCCCTAATGGTAGGCGTTGCTCTGACAATCCTAGTGCTTTAGTTTAAATGCCTTGCTCTGCCCCAGGGGTGTAGGTGGAGAACCTGTCCCCCCTTGGAATGGACTTTGCTGGCTTCCGGGGGAGGCTCTGTCGTTGGAGAGCATGGTCGTCCTCCCTCCCAGCCTCGCCTCTGTCGGGCTGTTGGGCTATAAGGACCTTTCTGGAGGCTAGACCCCGTCGTCATCTGTGGAACTGCTCTCTCTGGTTCCTCCCCACTAACACTCTTGGGTTTCGTTTCCACAGTCGATCCTGGTTGCATTGTGAAGAGGGGGACGTTCTCCTGTTCATACTCTGTTTCCTAACAGTCTGTCTCCTTCATGCCCCAGGTGTCCTTACTGGGTCTCAGGGCCTCTGTGTCTTATCTGCCCTATTCATCATCAACACACGCTTTCTGGGGAGAGCTGAACGGTGACACCCCCTGTGTATAGATCAGTAGGGTTCCAATTTTTACCTCTTCAAGTGTTCTTTGTCTTAATTCAGGTGCAGTAGATTGGGGACACTTGGGATGTCTGGGTTTCTCTTCACTAATACTGCCTAAAGCCATTTCCCAGACAGGTGACAGTGACTTGTCATTTATTTGAAAAATAAGCTATAAATCCTACAGCTTATGATCTTAAGTCTGTCTACCAATCTCGTTTTAAAAAAAAAATCAAACCGTTAGAGCCACGAGAAGATGGTTTAATGTGCATAAGTGTCAGGACAAGAGAAGATGGTTTAATGTGCATAAGTGTCAGGACAAGTGACATTCCCCTGAAAGAGCCTTTCGGAGCTGACGGGCTTTTAGTCACAGGGCCGTCAGGTGCTGGGAGCGGGGACCCGCTTGGAGAGAAGTGCCGCCGCCTCGCGTTTCGCCTTCCGAGTCAGACGCTGTTGTCTTTCCCAGCCTAAGTCACACGGGCTTATTTCCCAGGCTCTGCAAACAGGCCTCGTGCCTTCAAACACGGCATCGCGTGAAAGGAATAAAACATCGCTGCAGCTCGATTTAGTGAGGTCATTTTTCAGTGGCCCTTTCAAACAGCTTCCTGCGAAGCTGCAAACAGTCGTTTGGCCTTGGACTCCAGCTGGAGGTCCCCGCCCCTGAAGGGCCAGAGGGCAGAGCTCTGGCTGACCCCACCCTAGACCTGCCGGAGTGATGGCCATCGCCTGTGCTACCCCCCCCACCCCCGCCTCCCCGGCCTCTGCAGGCCGTGACTCAGTCGTTGATCCAAGATGACTGCATCCATCCTCTGCCCCCTAGAACCCAGGCCCTGAGGGGCACAGATTGGGGGTGAGGCTCCTCTGCGGTCTCTTGGCTGTGGGACTTCAGTGGGTTACTGCAACCCTCAGTTTCTTTTTAGCATTGAGGGTGTGGGTCACAATGATACCTACTTCATGGGGTTCTTCATGAGAATCAAGTGAGATAATGTATGAGATAAAGGGGATTATGTATATAGTAAGCACCAGAGCAATGGTAGCTAAGACTACCCCTACTACTACTAATTAGCTGCCGCTGTGGTCATTGTCATCATTAATGTCTTATATCATCATCATCATCATTAATATCTTTTTTGGGGGAGGCGTACATGCCCCTAGTGGGAACCGAACCCAGGACTCTCTGATCCGCAGGCCGATGCTCCAACAC